CCTTCCTTTCCTTTTTCTCCTGCTTCTCCTTCCTGAGAATAAAGACCAACGTTTAAGGAAAACTCATAATATAGTTATCTTGGTTGGTTTTGTAACCATAGAAAGCTTTTAACGTACTCCTTCTTCTCCTTCCTCTCCTTCTTCTCTCTCTTCTTCTTCGTCTTGTCCTTCCTAGAAGACAAAATGGAATCCATCAGAAAACACCTTGTGAGTCATTATGTTGACGTTCTATGTGTTAAATCAAAAAACATACTCTTCTTCTTCGTTGTTGTTGCTGTTGTTGGCGTTAAACAGCTTTCCTGGTCCGGCTTGTTGATCGGTTCTGAAACGACGACAGGACTGGTTTACCAAGATCATCCGTTCTAGTTGGGAACTCTCTAAAGGATCCCAAACATCTTTTTAAAGGATCCTGAGAACATCTTCATAGGGCCCATAGATCTCTTTACAGACTCCTAGATCCTTGAGAAAAACCGGGACCAGTGAAATCTCTTTAAGTAACTCAAGAAATGGATCTTCTTGCGGATCGGTTGAACCTGCCCATGGACACCAGGAACCTTTTAAAGGACCATTAGAACATCTTAAAGGCACTATATAACATCCTTCAGGAAGCTTGGAGTCTTTAGAACTGCCTCAAAACCACATTAAACCTTGTCAAGCAACAAGGACCTCAAGAACTTCCTAAAGAAACCATCGATCCTTAAGAGGACCCCTACAACCTGCAAAAACATTTTAAAGGACCAGTAGAACATATTTAAGACTCTTTAGAACCGCCTCAACACCCCATTAAACTTCATCAAGCAACGTTGAGACCTCCTAAAGGACCTCTAGAACTTCCTCAAAGACCCATTGAAGTTCCTCCTGGATTGTTGGACTCATTCAATCATAATTTGCATTGATCGATTGTTAGCCTTTGAGTGTTGGACCTCTCACCTGTCCCTCTCCATGTCTTCACCTGGATCGTCCTGGAGAGCGATGGTGGGTGATGTCGACCTGTTTAGAGACCGGACTGACGGAGCTACTTTGGCCATGCAGGTATCCTTTCCTCTGACTTCCTGATGACAAAGAGAAAGAGTTATAGTAATAGTCCTGAAGTTTTGGTTTTACTAAACTCAACTCTAAAACTCTTAAAACGTTCCCCCGGTTAAATCCTTTGTAGTTTCCAAAGAGAGAGAGAGTAATAAATGCAGAAGAGGTGAGGTGTGTGTAGACGGAGAGATTGACCCTGATGAGGATTAAGAGATTACAGGAGATGATACTGTCTCGCACACACACACACACACACACACACACACACACACACACACACACACACACACACACACACACACACACACACACACACACACACACACACACACACACACACACACTCATACGATATTAGGAATTACGCACGTGTATGTGTGTGTGTGTGTGTGTGTGTGTGTGTGTGTGTGTGTGTGTGTTTGTGTGTGTGTGAACATGATAACACTAAGCAGGTATAGCTTTATACATTTGAGACACACTGTTGCATTTAAATAAATAAATAGTAATTAAAATCAAACTTAAGTGGATTTAATTTCAAGAAAGATTAAGTGACAATCTTCAAAATTATTTTATATATTTGTTTGTATTTATTTAAATCAAATATTTAAGCTAAAACAGAAAAAATAAACTACATTAAAAGAAATGTATTTTTGAAAAATGTAAAAAAACACAAAGCAGTATGCATTGGATATTCTTCTTAAATAATGTAAGAGCAAATAAACAATAATTTCCTCCATTTATTCTGGGCTAGAATTATTTATTTATATTTTTCAAATTGCTTTATTATTTAAAGGTAGGGTAGGTAAGTTTGAGAAACCGGCTCGAGATCGCTAGAATTTGAAAATACACAACCGGAGAAAATCTGCCACTTCCTTACAGAGCCCCTCCTCCAACACACACGAACGCGCACATGACCAATGAGGGCACGAGATAAGTTTGTGCACAGATGGAAGGCTGACAGGCAGGTAGGCCATCCAGTTATTTTAGCCGGGCCGGCTAAAATGATTGGTCGTGCTTTTTACAGTACCACAGCTTCCACAGATGACTTTTTTTATGGATTTTTTGTCAAAGCACTTCAGATATTCATTGCTATCGGGATGTTAAGAGCATTCCATGGAATATAACTGTTAGCAGAGTAAGCATAACTTCATTGCTGTTTAGCATCCAAATAAGCGGAGGAGTAACGAAACATCAGAGACAGTGGCATTTCATTCAACGGGCCCTCCCATTGGAGGCGTGGCTTTATTTATACCCATCATTGACCTTTAACCTGTTACGCTATTGGCTTCCAGTCATGCACAACAAATAACACAAATTGGTAACATATTTACCTGAATGTTAACAATAACAAAAAGTGTATCTCCAGCCGGTTTCTCAAACTTACCTACCCCACCTTTAATTAATAATGTTATTTATTTTCCTTTATTTAATTAATTACTACTTATTTCTGTTTTTATTTTCAATGAATGAATAATATGATTTATATGTATTTTTATGTTGAAAGTATTATTTTCTTTATTCATTCATTTAATCATTCTTTTTTTTTTTATATAAATTAACTTACTTTATTGTTCATTTGTCAAGTATTAATTGACATAGCACTATTTAATATTTACTTTATATTTAAAATTATATTTTAAATCCTCGCTTCTCTCCTAAGAATAATAGGTTTTGTTATGCATAATTCTTATTTAATAAACACTCATTGATTTAAATATATACATCTTGAATTGGAAATACATTTGGCTAATACATCTACAAGTGGATCCATCATAGCCCTCTCTTACAGGCTCATAAATCCCATATAAAACATGTAAATGAATACAAATATGTATAAAATGAGGCCTATATATTTAAAGGCAATCCCTCGGGAGTTATGTTAATATAAAATGTGGGGGTTAAAAGTGTTGAAAACCCAGATTTACAGCATTACAGCAGCTGTTGTAATAAAATAAATAAATAATCCCTCTTGTTGCTAGGAGCGGCAGCCTCCCGCAGCGCGCCCTCTGATTGGCCCGCAGCTCGTCCCCGCGGGCCAATCAGAAGCGAGTGCGTCCGCCATGAGAATCCATAATCCCCCTTCTTCTTTATTATCATCAATACTACGATTTATAACCGACAGGACGTCAAAATAAACGCCTCTGTGTCACTAAGTCTTCCTTTTGTCGATATTTCCACGCAGGAATGTGGAGATAAAAGAGTGTTTTTGTCACATTTTGCTAAATAAACATGTTTTTTTTACAAAATGGATGTAAAATTGGAATAAAATATGAAATGTTGTGTTGTTTTGTGGTTTATTTAGTGTGTTTCTCCCCTGGTTTCTCCACACACAGATGACCCTAAACCGCTGCTGCTGTTACCGGCTGCTGCTGTAATGGCGGGGCTGTCAAAGGTACCAAAACAAGTACACACTCTTCTTCCGGTTTGAGTACAGGCCTACAAAATAAAAGCTTTGCAATCTGCTAATTATTTTTTCTATATTTATATATCAGTTGTATGCTTTGTATAAAAACGAACCTATGCTGTATTTTATATAATTTTAGATTAACTTCTGGTCTATTTCATTGTTTAGATTATTAAAGTGCATTTAGTTGTTTTTTTAAACATATGTGTTACATCTATACACATAACTAAATCGAAAGTTTTGTATGGGGGTAATAGCACCCATCTTTCACATCGATCCTGCTTTTATTTTGAATTCCCCCCCTCTCGCCAGGGCGGAAGTGAGTGCTGCGGCTTTGCTTGCTTCACGAGCCGCTGGAGCTGATGGCGGCTGGCGGAGGGAGAGGAGGGAGAAAGAGAGAAAGAGAGAGAGGAGAACCGAGAGGAGAGAGAGAGGAGGCCGAGCACCGAGCACTGAACACCGACCCCTGCTCCCTCACCAGGCCGACCACCGAGCACCGCAGCCCGGCACACAGACGCGCAACACCCCGGTGCAGCGGTGCGTTGTTTTTGTTTATTATCGGTACCAAAAAGGGGGTGGGATTTCACCGGAGGGTCGGTGTGCAGGTTGTGCATGTACACACTGTTAATATATACTGCATCCAGGGTGCTGCAATGTGTGTATTTGTATCATAATGTGTGTTATTATACATGTGCAGTGTACATATATGTGTTTTTTTGTTATCAGAAGCGTGTATTTTGGGGGGTTTGAGGGGGGCTAGGGCCCAGATTCAACAACAGTCCTTATTAGGATTGCACCGTACTTCCTACTATAATTAAATACCACTGGTGTATCTGACTGCTATGATGGCGTTTTAGGGCCAATGGAGAGTTAACAAATGAAGTAGAATTGGAGCCACATTGTAATATCATGAGAAAAAACTACAAAGAGTGCAGTTGTGATTTTATTGAATTATTTTCAGATATAAAATCTATAATTCATCGGGATTATTTTGTATACTTAAATGGTAAATCAACAATAAAAACACATTAAAAAAATATTCTATATGTATTTATATCTGAGATGACAAAATATTACATGTACCATCGACAAACAAAATCTGATATATTTTAGTATTAAACTCATAATTTATTTTTAAAAAACGATTTGAAATTTGCAAGAAATAATAGCAAAAATGAACAAATTCAAGATTTAAAAAAATATGGTCTGAGATTACAAAATAATACATTTGCAAGAAAAAAACCTGACATTTCTCCGTATTAAAGCCGTAATTTATGAGAAAAAGTCTGGATATTTACAGAAATAAAACACATATTCCCTCAAGACTATGAGTTGATTAATTTGAGAGTAAAAAAAGGAAAATCCAACGTTATTAAAGTTGTTATTTAACGAAAATAAACTCTGATATTATCTGAAAAGTGGCAAATTCTTGCCTGTTTTGGACTCACTTTTGGATATTCTTTGAGGTTGAAATAATACATTTTCAAATGAAAAACACATTTTCCAAGATTAGGAGCTTAATTAGCGAGAATGAAATAGGGAAATATCTTCAGAGATTAAAGTGGAAAATTCGCAAACTAATTTAATAAAAGCCACCACGTGCTGTGCATTCAAATAATAGTTCATAAACTCATCAAATAATACTTTGTAAAGGGTTTTTGCAATTAGGAAATCCCGGTCATTTCAGCCTAAAATCACAACGATTCATTACATATAAGCTACTAAAATGCAAAGGGGTATAATAGGAATATTGTAGGTACCGTTAATTCTATATATGTATATTTGAGGTATTAGTGTTATATATTTAAGTGTGTGTTGTGTTTACTGACCCTCACACTGTCCTTTAATAGTGTTTCCCCAGTATGTTTGCAGGAACTCTTTACAGACCACCTACGTTTCCTGCAGTGTGTGTGTGTGTGTGTGTGTGTGTGTGTGTGTGTGTGTGTGTGTGTGTGTGTGTGTGTGTGTGTGTGTGTGTGTGTGTGTGTGTGTGTGTGTGTGTGTGTGTGTGTGTGTGTGTGTGTGTGTGTGTGTGTGTGTGTGTGTGTGTGTGTGTGTGTGTGTGTGTGTGTGTGTGTGTGTGTGTGTGTGTGTGTGTGTGTGTGTGTGTGTGTGTGTGTGTGTGTGTAAAGCCTTGGGATTAAGGACATCTCTGCAAAGTGAGGGTCGTTCTTCTTTTTGGTTTAATGTTCAGGGTTCCCCTTTCTAGTCAATACTGGCTTTAAAAATAACATGCACTGGAACAAGAACTGCACTGATTTAATGGTGAATTTGGCAAAAAGCCAACATAACAAATTTTTCAAACCTTTTTCCTGACAAACAGCTGTGTGCAATTCAAATGCAAATGAATAAATATAAATTAAGGAATTCCAGAAAAAGGATCTCTCTTTCTGACAGGATCTTCAGTGTACACAAGGACAGGGAAGTGTTTTTTTTTTTTGTGGGACTTGAATTTGTTTTTGACCCTCTTTAAGGTCAGGGTCCTTGGATTGCACCCTGTTGTTAACGGTTCTCAGAAGTACACAAAAACAAGCGTGTGCGTGTGTGTGTTGTGGATAGAGAGGCAGCTTTGTGTCGGGTTGTGGTTTGAGTTCTGCAGGGATGAATATCAAACAGGCCTGTAGTAGTGTGTGTGTGACGTGCTGTCTTGTTGTCTGTCAATAAACTATTGTCTTTTCTCTCTCTCTCCGGTGCAGGACCTCGTATCGGCCGTCATCCCATCTCGCTCAGAAACTACAGCTGCAGTTCTTGTAGTATTTAGTTGCAGTAGTCAGCACTTCTACCTGTGAAACATCAGAGGGGTTTTAGTCAGAGAGGTGACCTCTAAAGTGGATTACAGCAGCTTTAAAGTCTTTTAATTTAAGCATTTTGATGCTAATGAGCCTGGAAAGACTAGCTTAGCTTGTTAGCTTGCAGGGGGTTCTACATCCCTTCATGTTTGTTGTCTGAAATCTGACAAAACTGGCAGGGTAGCAGCTCCTTCACTGTGAAAATCTCTTAAAAAAAAAAAGCTCTTAAAAATGTAGATTATCTTAATTATTAAGCTACTTGCAGTTATCAGATAACAGCTAGTGCAGCAGTTCCAAACCAAACATTCAGAAAACAAATTCAGATTTTGAAAGGAAAATGTAGTTGGGACTTGGACCACAGTGAAGTGTTTGGCAAGCTAACGGCTTGTTAGCGGCTAGTGGTGAGCGGGCAGCGGTGGCGCGGGGCTAGCTCCGGGCAGAGCGGGGGTGCGATGGAGTACCACTCTAGTGGCAGCCTGCCCCTGCTGGGGAGACCGCGGTACTGCCCCGGAGCTAACGCTAACGGAGGCTACCTGTGTGAGACGGGACACTGCTGCGGGGAGACCGGATGCTGCACCTACTACTACGAACTCTGGTGTAAGTTGGTTTTACTGTGTTTCAAGTAAAGTAAAGGAACTACATACAAGTAAAAAGCTAATGTTGGGCTATAAAGGAACTACAGCACGGTCACATGACTTCACGTCACCACCGCTAAGCTAAAGGCGGCTAATGTTGGGCTTTAAAGGAACTACAGCACGGTCACATGACTTCACGTCACCACTGCTAAGCTAAAGGCGGCTAATGTTGGGCTATAAAGGAACTACAGCACGGTCACATGACTTCACGTCACCACCGCTAAGCTAAAGGTGGCTAATGTTGAGCGTGATGACGTTTAGTAGTTTCATTTGCAGTGATGGAAAGTAACTAACTAAATGTATTCAAGTACTGTACTTAAGTACACATTTGAGGTACTTGTACTTTACCTTAGTTTTTTCATTTTATACTACTTTATACTTCTACTAATTTTATTTTACAGATTTATTGCAAGTTACTTCATAAATTCAGATTTTGACACAAAAAACCTTTAAATATGATTATTTGGTATTGATTGAACCATCCAGCATTATATTTCAGTAACTGAAACCATGAGTGGGTTAACAGATAATGAGTTGGCAACATTTTTGCTAATAACTGTTTTGTTCAAAAATATTGAACAGTTCCAGTTTCTTAAATGTTTTGAAAGATTTGCTGCTTTTGCTTTTAAATATATATATTTTTTGAGTTTTTCCTGAGAACGTTTTATTTTTTAACATTATATGTATTGGGTTTTTTAACATAGAAAGAACACACAGTCACACATACATACATTAACACATTGGAAAAATAGCACTCCCTCAACATCTAACATTCAGGGATAAATATGAAAGAATAACTAGTTTCTATATTTAGAGATAGTTATTACTATTATTATTATTATAATCAGCATTATTATTATTCCTTGTTTTTGTATCAGTGTTTGATAGCGATATTCATCAATTTCACTCATCAATTTCCACTTGATCACTCTCAAGGAAACGCATGAATGAGTACTTGTATTCCTTATACTCAGTGCCTCTGTGTGTTTGTGTTCAGGGTTCTGGCTGCTGTGGACGGTCCTCATCCTGTTCAGCTGCTGCTGTGCGTATCGACACCGAAGAGCCAAGCAGAGAGTCCAGCAGCAGCAGAGACAGCGAGAGATCAGCCTGCTGGCGTATCATGGAGCTAACTCATACCCATCCTCCATGCTGGACCTCAGTAAGACCCCCGTCAAGATTCAAGATTCAAGGCTAATCTTAGGTCACAGGCTAAGAGCAACACAATAAAACAGATAAACTGGTTAAAAGTGCAAGTAAATACAAATCAAATAGAGTAGAAATAGTGCAAGGAGAGTCTATATACAAGTAATTAGGATATAATATATTAGATAAATAATTTGTAAGTTGCAAACAAATGAATGTTATGGATGTTCTTTTCAAAAGTTCAGGTGTTTAACCGTCTTATGGCCAAATAGATAGATTCCCTATTTGGGAAATGTTTGCGTGGCAGCAGCTCAAAAAGACAAGACATTGTGCATGAGAGAAATTAAACGACTAGAAATAAACAATCCAAAATGTAAACATCTCAAATAGAAATAAAATAGCATTAAAATGTGGAAAATATACATGTGGAAATACTCATTTACAGTAACAAAATATAAGGCAGGATATTATATATACATTAATTGTGCAAGGAATGGATTATTAAATATTATATTGAATGTAAAAGTAAAAGTCCAGTTGGAGCAGAGAGTTCTCTTCCAGCCAGAGGAGATTTGTTAAACAGAGTTATTGCAGTCGGCAGGAATGTTTCCCTGTATCGGTCCTTGTTAATAGATACATTTCAAACTCTAACTTGTACCCATCTTGATACTTGTACTGTCTGTTATGTGGGATTGCACCTCCGGGAATGCTTGGAATTTCGCTGTACTCTGTGCACGAATCTAATCTTATCTTGGTTCCAGAGAGGGCAAAAGTACACACATCCTTTACTCAAGTAGAAGTACAGATACTCGTGTTTAAAAGTACTCTGGTGAAAGTAGAAGTACTGACTAAACTTCTTTACTCAAGTAAAAGTAAAGAGGCTTTGAAATGTACTTCAGTAAAAAGTACCCATAACTAGCAGCTGTTTTAAAGAGTACCTGACCTCCCTTTATATTAATAGAACAATAATGTCATTGTTAGCTAATGAATGTTTCCATGCTGAACAACGGCAACATGACAACGTTTTCATTGGTCCCTCTTCTTTAGAGAAGACCAGGAAATGATGGATACACGGATCGTGTTCAAATCAATAGGCACGCAATGACTCTAAATAATAATGATCACGCCACCAAACACACATTCAAACTAAAGGAACCAGCCTGTTTGGGAAATGAGAGAAGTAGAAAGTACAGGTATTTGGGTTCAACATGTAAGAAGTAGAAAGTACAGGTATTTGTGTTCAACATGTAAGAAGTAGAAAGTACAGGTATTTGGGTTCAACATGTAAGAAGTAGAAAGTACAGGTATTTGTGTTCAACATGTGAGAAGTAGAAAGTACAGGTATTTGAGTTCAAAATGTAAGAAGTAGAAAGTACAGGTATTTGTGTTCAACATGTAAGAAGTAGAAAGTACAGGTATTTGTGTTCAACATGTAAGAAGTAGAAAGTATAGGTATTTGTGTTCAACATGTAAGAAGTAGAAAGTACAGGTATTTGGGTTCAACATGTAAGAAGTAGAAAGTACAGGTATTTGTGTTCAACTTGTAAGAAGTAGAAAGTACAGGTATTTGTGTTCAACATGTAAGAAGTAGAAAGTACAGGTATTTGGGTTCAACATGTAAGAAGTAGAAAGTACAGGTATTTGTGTTCAACATGTAAGAAGTAGAAAGTACAGGTATTTGGGTTCAACATGTAAGAAGTAGAAAGTACAGGTATTTGTGTTCAACATGTGAGAAGTAGAAAGTACAGGTATTTGAGTTCAAAATGTAAGAAGTAGAAAGTACAGGTATTTGTGTTCAACATGTAAGAAGTAGAAAGTACAGGTATTTGTGTTCAACATGTAAGAAGTAGAAAGTATAGGTATTTGTGTTCAACATGTAAGAAGTAGAAAGTACAGGTATTTGGGTTCAACATGTAAGAAGTAGAAAGTACAGGTATTTGTGTTCAACTTGTAAGAAGTAGAAAGTACAGGTATTTGTGTTCAACATGTAAGAAGTAGAAAGTACAGGTATTTGGGTTCAACATGTAAGAAGTAGAAAGTACAGGTATTTGTGTTCAACATGTAAGAAGTAGAAAGTACAGGTATTTGGGTTCAACATGTAAGAAGTAGAAAGTACAGGTATTTGGGTTCAACATGTAAGAAGTAGAAAGTACAGGTATTTGAGTTCAAAATGTAAGAAGTAGAAAGTACAGGTATTTGTGTTCAACATGTAAGAAGTAGAAAGTACAGGTATTTGTGTTCAACATGTAAGAAGTAGAAAGTATAGGTATTTGTGTTCAACATGTAAGAAGTCAAAGTAAAAAGTCGTCAGAAAATTAAGTAGTGGAGTAAAGTACTGATACCAGACAAATGTACTTAAGTACAGTAACAAAGTATTTGTACTCCACTTGTTCCAGGTTTCTTGGCGTCTCTGAAGCTGCCGTCCTACGAGGAGGTTGCAGCTCAACCCTCCACTCCTCCCCCTCCATACAGCTCGGTGTTCACCACCCCTCGTTACCCTCAACCCCCCAGAACCAGCGACCCCCATCTGCTCACACAACACGACCCACTCCTTCATCGCCCGCTCAGCGACGGACCCTCCTCCCTCAGCTCAGACAACAGGTAACAACGATGCTAACTGTGATGGAAACTTCTGAAGCCGAGACTCAGAGAGACACAGGGAGACTCAGAGAGACTCAGAGAGACTCAGAGAGACACAGGGAGACTCAGAGAGACTCAGAGAGACTCAGAGAGACACAGGGAGACTCAGAGAGACTCAGAGAGACTCAGAGAGACACAGGGAGACTCAGAGAGACACAGATACCCCATTCACACCAACGGTGTTTCGGGGCCGGTTCGGTGCTGGTGCTTGAAAAGCACCGGGTTTTCCTGTTCACACCGCAGCGGAGCAGCCTCTAAGCTCCGGAATCCGGTTCGTTTCGAGCACCAAAAAGTTGTCCGTGTAGAAGCAAGAACCGCTTACGTCGGAGGGGGGCGAGATTAACCTGAGATAACAGTTAAGGCGAGTACGGCAAATAAAAGTTGTAACCAGCAGTAGTGCTGAGCAAAGTGACTAGAACGCAACCACACACTTGTAAAAAAAAAACACGCTTTATAAAGTCAGGCAACACTAACCAGGCTTCGTGTGATTCTGTTTATTTGTACCTTACTTTGACCATCCGTTCGCTGTTATTGATCATTGTGGAGAGCAGGCAGACGTTTTGTTTGTTATTATAGCAGCTATCGGATGGAATCAATACATGGGCTGCACAGGTGGTCATGTCCGACTATCACAAGTAGAATCATAATGAAAAATACGCCGGTAAAAAGTGCCTGGAGAAAACGGCTTAGCCAGTAGTCAGTTTAGCTTCGGTTGCTATGCTAACATCACCCATGTTATACCAGAGAAACTTTCATAACAGCGTTGTGATGCCAAACAGCGTCAATTCAGACTGACACCAAACAGCGTCAATTCAGACTGACACACATTCACTTAAGGGGAACTGGGGATATGTATCAGCTGCTTGTGTGACAGTCAGACAGTGAATACTTTAGAGCCGTGTGAGCTAACCCGGAGCTAACGGGAGAATACACTCACGTTGAAGAGCAGTCAGCACTGCAGCGGTCGGTAAATGCCGCTGAAACACATTAATAAACAATGAACCACGGCACTCTGGAGAAAAGTATAAGGTTGGAGAAGTCGTTATTTAATTTAATCTGGCTTCGTATGATTAAAAGCAACACGATCATCGACCCGACGCAGTCCCCGGCCCGTTGTTGTTGTGAGGTGAGCTCCGTTGGGGAGAAACTCAGCGACGTAAACTGTGACGTCATGACGCAGCAGCGGCAGCACCAGTCGGGCTCTGAGCGGTGTGAAAAGAGCCGGCGCTAAACCGAAGAACCGGTTCTGAACCAGAAAAGCTCTAGCACGGAGCTAGAAGGGGAAAAGCCTTGGTGTGAAAGGGGTAAGAGAGACTCAGAGAGACACAGGGAGACTCAGAGAGACACAGGGAGACTCAGAGAGACTCAGAGAGACTCAGAGAGACACAGGGAGACACAGGGAGACTCAGAGAGACTCAGAGAGACACAGGGAGACTCAGGGAGACTCAGAGAGACACAGGGAGACTCAGAGAGACTCAGAGAGACTCAGAGAGACACAGGGAGACTCAGAGAGACACAGGGAGACTCAGAGAGACACAGGGAGACTCAGAGAGACTCAGAGAGACACAGGGAGACACAGGGAGACTCAGAGAGACTCAGAGAGACACAGGGAGACTCAGGGAGACTCAGAGAGACACAGGGAGACTCAGAGAGACTCAGAGAGACACAGGGAGACTCAGAGAGACTCAGAGAGACTCAGAGAGACACAGGGAGACACAGGGAGACTCAGAGAGACTCAGAGACACAGGGAGACTCAGAGAGACTCAGAGAGACTCAGAGAGACTCAGAGAGACTCAGAGAGACACATGGAGACTCAGAGAGACTCAGAGAGACTCAGAGAGACACAGAGAGACTCAGAGAGACACAGAGAGACTCAGAGAGACTCAGAGAGACTCAGAGAGACTCAGAGAGACTCAGAGAGACACAGAGAGACTCAGAGAGACTCAGAGAGACACAGAGAGACTCAGGGAGACTCAGAGAGACACAGGGAGACTCAGAGAGACTCAGAGAGATTCAGGGAGACTCAGAGAGACACAGGGAGACTCAGAGAGACTCAGAGAGACACAGAGAGACTCAGAGAGACACAGGGAGACACAGGGAGACACAGGGAGACTCAGAGAGACTCAGAGAGACTCAGAGAGACTCAGAGAGACTCAGAGAGACACAGGGAGATTAAGAGAGACTCAGAGAGACACAGGGAGACACAGGGAGACACAGGGAGACTCAGAGAGACTCAGAGAGACTCAGAGAGACTCAGAGAGACACAGGGAGACACAGGGAGACACAGGGAGACTCAGAGAGACTCAGAGACACAGGGAGACTCAGAGAGACTCAGAGAGACTCAGAGAGACTCAGAGAGACTCAGAGAGACACAGAGAGACTCAGAGAGACTCAGAGAGACTCAGAGAGACTCAGAGAGACACAGAGAGACTCAGGGAGACTCAGAGAGACACAGGGAGACTCAGAGAGACTCAGAGAGATTCAGGGAGACTCAGAGAGACACAGGGAGACTCAGAGAGACTCAGAGAGACACAGAGAGACTCAGAGAGACACAGGGAGACACAGGGAGACTCAGAGAGACTCAGAGAGACTCAGAGAGACTCAGAGAGACACAGGGAGACTCAGAGAGACTCAGAGAGACACAGGGAGACACAGGGAGACACAGGGAGACTCAGAGAGATTCAGAGAGACTCAGAGAGACTCAGGGAGACACAGGGAGACACAGGGAGACTCAGAGAGACTCAGAGAGACTCAGAGAGACTCAGGGAGACACAGGGAGACTCAGAGAGACTCAGAGAGACACAGGGAGACTCAGGGAGACACAGGGAGACTCAGAGAGACACAGGGAGACACAGGGAGACACAGAGAGACACAGAGAGACTCAGAGAGACACAGGGAGACACAGGGAGACTCAGAGAGACTCAGAGAGACTCAGAGAGACACAGGGAGAGCAGGAACTTTGATGGCAAACACTGATAGTTTATTATAGAGTTACAGCCGGAGAATTTGACAAGACATGTTCTGCCGCCACGAGGTGACACGAGGCTACTGCCAAACCAATTCTGAAGATCCCGTCTGCAGTTCTAGGTTTTAACTAGTTCAGAGTGTAATAATCAACATTCCTCATCAGCGAGACTAAACCAATATGGACCCTGAATATAACTAGAGCTGTCGTCCATAGAAAATAATGTGCGCCAGGGAACCTACGTTCCTGAACAATAAACTACCTCATGGCGGCTCATAAACAACAACAATGATCCCAAGCTCTTCCTCCTTAAGAGAGATAGCAGCAAAACCCAAGGCCGTAGACCTATGCCGTGGGAAAAGAGAAAGTGAGAGGAGAAAACGATGAACTGTGTCAAAGGCAAGGCAAGGCAAGGCAAGGCAAGGCAAGGCAAGTTTATATATATAGCACTTTTCTGTACGCGACAATTCAAAGTGCTTTACAAAACAAATTAAAATACTTTTTATGAATAAATACAGTAAAAACACATTATATAATGCATTACAAAGGTTTAAATACCTAAGCAAATTATTCCCCAACACTAACGATAACTTAGACAATGTTATAACTTACATTGTTGTTGTTGGGGACATTTTGCCATCAAATTGGCACCCTGATATTGGGTTGTTCACGCTCACTTGCATTGTTTGTTTTGGGATCTAATAACCCCCATAGATGGTGTGTCTTATATCCTTCTGAGTGGTGTTTCAGTAAACCAGACATCAGAGCAAGATGACCCGACTGCAGGGAGCAAGAGAGGACGAATATATAACATAAGTAAACGAATTGAGAGACATACAGAGTCAGCAAGTGAATGATGTAAGGTGCAATATCTGTAACTATAGAAAAAGATTGTATTAGATATCGGGTGCCTTTTTCTTCAATGAAAACACTCACTCATACGCTCCTCTCTCCAGTCTCTTGAGATATCTACATTATTATTACACAACACAAGCTATTGCTACCTCATCATTTCATAAATCTCAATGAATAATAAATGTATATCTTCCCTTCAGCTCCAGTTGTTCCTGCGACTCCTGCTGCCCGTCCTCTCCATGTAGCTCCTCTTTATCGGCGGCCGTCACGTATGAAACCGACACCAGTCACGCCACGACGCCCAGCGAAGCCCCGCCCCTAACGCTCGACGTCACCACGGAGACCATCACAGCCGCAGCATCTCGTTTGGAGATCAACGAGACACGAAGTCTGGTTTCTGAGAGGATGTCGGGCTCAGTGGCCGTTGAGATCGGAGACGAAGACGCTTCCGGAGAACGGGAAACTGTTGTTGACTCATCGGTTCCCAACCAGGATGTTACGGTGGCGGTTGTTACGGTGGCGGCCTCCCCTCTGACCTCCCCCTGCTTAGAGGTGGTTCTTCCTGTTGGAGCTACATCTCCCATCATGCAACAGCTTGACCTAGCACCATGTACCCCGACACTCAGCACCAGTAGTACTTTCCCTAGTCCAAGTGAAGTCCAAATAATAAGCATTGATGGTCCAACTGATGAAAATATCCTTACCCCCAAAACCACCTCATTGTCGGGCCCTTCTACCCCAACAGCTAGCACTTCTGACCACAACCCTGATCCAACAAGAACTTTTGATACAGCCAACGTTCCAAGTAGCCCGACCTCAGCACCAGGATCAGATGTTGGAATGACTTTGGCCTTGATAAGTGAAGCGTCTAATCTCCCAAGCCAGGACCCAAATCCTAGCCTTGTGCCAATCCCAGCACCTTCAAACCTTCCCCAAGCCAGAGTACCTTCAACCCAAACCCAAGCTCCAGAACCTGTTCCCACAAACCTAAGCCCCTTTACAGAACCATTACCCATAAGCCTTCCCCAAAGTCCAGACCCTTCACCTTCAAACCTTAACCTAGTTTCAAACCTACAACCTAAAACCACCATAGTCCACGACTGTGAATCTAACCCTATCCTAAAACCAGTACCTGCAAACCTTACGCTTGCGAACCACACCCCGGATCTAACAAGAACTTTTGATACAGCCAACGTTCCCAGTAGCCCAACCTCAGTACCAGCATCAGATGTTGAAATGACTTTGGCCTTGATAAAAGACGCAACTAAATCTCCAAATCCAGACCTAAATCCTAGCCTTGTGCCAATCCCAGCGACTTCAAACCTCACCCAGGCTCCAGAACCAGTACCCACAAACCTAAACGCCTTTCCAGACCCAATGCCCACAAGCCTTCCCAAAACTCCAGACTCTTTGCCTTTAATCCATACCGCAAATCCAAATCTACGACCTAAAATCAACATAGCTCCAGACTGTGAATCCAACCCTATTCTAAAACCAGTACCCCAAAACCTTCTCCTTCCTACAGAAGCACCTAAATTAGCACATTTCCAGATACAAGAACCGTCACCTGGGTCACCTGGGTCACCTGGGTCACCTGGGTCCGGTCTAGCCTCGGTTCCTCCCAACCCAACCTCAGACAAGAACCCAAACCACGGTTCTGTTGCTATTCTTGTTTCTTGTCAAGATCCAGCCCCAGAATCCGCCGATGTAACGGCTCAATCGACAGAACAAGACCTTATCAGTCCGTTGCCATCAAATATCCAGGCTGGATTTAGTTCTGGATCTTGTACAAGTTTTGGTTCTAGAACAAGTCCAATATCGGTTCCTGCTCCAGTGTTTACGTTGACAACACCTGCATCCTCCCCTTCCTCTTGCCCAGCAATAACTATAGAATCCTCTTGTACACCTGTAGCCCTCTCCCCATCCTCACCCCTTTCCTTGTCTTCAACGTTTCTCCCGGGCCCAGCTTTACTCCTGGACCCCGTCACTGCAATGCACCAGTCCAACAAAAGTGGATCTTCTTCTGGCCACGCCTCCTCTCTTTCCCCCTCGCCTCGTGCTACCCAGTCGCCGCCGAAACAGACCTTATTTTCCCCCTGTGTGGATATCTTTGAACCGGGACCTCCAAACTGGGAGGACGGGGAGGACGACCAGGAAACCGAGGACAATGACGATGAGGAGGATGAGGACATGGGAGCGGATGAAAGCCAGTATAGACACCGGCGACTTACCGGCGACTCTGGCATCGAGGTGTGTAGGTGTCGGGTGGAGGATGAGGATGAGGAAGAGGAGGAAACGAAGGAGGATGGGATTCGAGAAGGAGGAGGAAATGGTGATCTTCATGACAGTGTGGACTGCCCGGCTCGAGGTCAGATCACCACAGGGGAAGGACTTGTACTGTGCACCTCCACCTCCACCGATACTCCAATATCTGAGGAAGGCGCCTCCGAAGTCGTCATTGTCGTGGAGTCCGTGTGATTGACAGGACGTGGGCGGAACAAACCATTCATCATCCAGGCAAGGGTTGAAGTTAATGATGGCCTTCACCCCTTAGAACTGTTATTTGAGATTGTCCTGATAGATGATTGTGATTGCGGTTACGTCATATCGACTGATGTTTATTCGGCAATTGTTTGTCAGATCAGCAAAAGGTGTTGGACTTTAGGAGGAGATTCAACAGGATGCTCACGAGGAAAGGTTTTAGTCCGATGTGGTTTGGAGGTTTCTGCATGGAGAGGCATTTTCTTAAATTGCATCCAGGGTTGATCAAATTTTACAAATACTGCACTACAGCATTCATGACATACTGGGCTCGAGGTTCGGCCACAATCTAAGTCGTATTTACAAATGAAAGATAGCAATTCTTCTGAAATTCAAAATGACCCTAGGTGCAATTTTATTGGAGATAACCCAATCTGTCCACCCATAGTATTTTACCCTAACAACCATTTCTAATATTATACTTGCGTGGTCCGATGACGCTTGCTAGATGTAAACATCGTTCCCCTTATCGACGTCTGTCCAAATGAAACACGTTCCCCAGAAATGACGTTTTCTTTCTTGCGTTTGTCACCAATGATAAAAACTTTAAATAGTTTAGCAGTAGACACCTGGCTTGTCTGGGGCGATGACGTCTGGTTTTGAAACAAGTCAAACTCTCCGCTTTGGACACGCAAACCGACTAATGTGGGAGGATGATTCACTCTGACTGACAGAGGGACGACTGATTCATCAGAAAGCTTACTTTTGATGTACAAGTCAGTCAAGGGAAGGGAAATTAGGGAAACAGTTTCTCAGATTTGATGTTTTCATGACAACTTGATCCTGTATGGAAGATTTCTGGGTTGTTTCCTGTGCGTCAGTGGACAAAAGCTTTTTGCATAAATAGGAACAAACAATAGACACTTTTAGACCGAAACAAAGCCCCAAACAAAAGGGATGTGAACACGTCATCGCTATCGTCTTTGTCTCTGAATTTGAGGACGGATACAACAAAACGTTGTAGAAACCAAACAATCTAGAGTCTTATCTCTAAAATATTCCTTTTCCGCATCCCTCCATTCGTAGCCATCTTCCTTTTTATCATTCAGAACCCTCTATTAAATTGTATTCTGATGGATAAATCAACAAAGTCAAGCTATTTTAGGACCCACAATGACGGTGATCTGAATCGCGTTAAAGAATTGGAGAATATGTAATTTATTTTAAGGACTTATGGACGTGTGGATATCGATATTTTGTGACAGAAAGACATAGAGGTAGAGTATATTTTGTCAATGATAGAAAAAACATTTTTGTTGTACATGCTGGTGTATGTCCAATTAGCGAAGAGCAATATTTTTCATCAGCAAGAGTCTGTATGTAAATGACGCCCCCTTAAAAAGAAATGGAAAAAATCAAGGTATTGACAAGTTTTGGTAAAAACTTACCCCAGATATAAGTGGACTTTAATTTTAAATATAACTCACTGGTTCCAATGAATATCTCCCCAAATCGCGCTGGAAGAACTAAAAATGCATCTAGAAATCAAAGTTTTCAACAACATGTGAGACTTTCACCCAACAGCAGTGCAATGATTGTAAGTCATTTCCAACACACTTTACGGAGGTATGCCAACACACATTTGTTAAGCTCTAGAAGTCAAAATGAATGTGATGATAATACACCGACAGTTGGTTGTACATTTCGGTTAAAAAGTTCATATAAATGTACAACAAAAAAGGCGGGAAAACAAGGTGAGGAAAAGGCGGTCAAAAGTTTCCCGAAATACACTGCATTGTTGTAGAAGGAAATCCTTAGTTAGTAAATTAGTTGGACTGGTCACTTTTCCTTACATCTGCTCCCACAAAGTGCATTTTGTACAGCCGTTAATGTAAGCTGTTTCAGTAAATTCACCGAATGTGTGTTGGTCCAAACCAGACGTCAGATTGTGTTGGAAGAGTCACCAGAGAGTAAAGTCTGACCTTTTAGCTAATGAGAGACTGAGTGTACTGAAACCTGTGTTCAAAGAAACAGGAAAATCATATTGGAGGTGGTCACCTTGTCACAAATATCATTAACTCAACCTTCTCCGATGTAAACAAAGTCTGACCCACAAACCCTGTTTCCATGCTGCATCACAACCGGACTTCACTACCCATTTCTTGCAAAAGGACGATGGGTTTACCTTTGCAGACAATGCTATGTTGGACCTCCTTACGACAAAAGCAATGTCCTGCCATGGAAAAGGACTCGAGTGGACTTCAAATGGCAGCAACAGAGCGCACAGTTTCTACGTCTAAATCTGGGTGTTTTGGTAGTCAGATTGGAAACCAACGTGCACAAGATTGGATTCACACGTGGATGGATTCATTAATCCAATATTTTGTTTTTTAAACCTATTGCGGAGCTGAATTCACAGAAATATGGTTTTGAGCAAACGTGGATGTCAAAGAGAGCTCAAGCAGATTCCTACGATGGCGGATCGGAGTCGAAAACGACACCTTCGATTGAGTCTAGGCCGACTAATCGCCTGTTGACCGTAAGAGTTCGTAGAGGCTTAAAGGACCTTTTCTCAAGGGTCATACCTAGCCGTTGATGTTGTGGTTGATGGTGTTTTTTGTTTACCTGAACTAATAAGGTTATATATCTCCATGGTTAAAAGAGTGCCATTTCTACTTGACCACTGTTACTACTTAGCGTTAGATGGAGCGGCTCTCGCTCTGCGTGGGTGTGGACTTTCGACCTGAGTGACTGGGAAAATGTTCGGTCCAAAATCTGTCTCTTGTAGCTCGAGTTCCCAAAGGCTCTGCAGCTCTGAAATCAGCCTTGTGAAAAAAGGGAAATTTCCGCCAAATAATGTGGGATTTTACCCAAATCTCCTTACAGATAAAAGCTTGGGAAATTACCTTGAAAACGAGGCTGATGTTTGGGCGTTTAAAGCATTTGGAAAACTCCTATTTATCCTTTTTGTTGAGTCAAGCCGGGGCAAGTTTTTCATCAAATGTTGGTGGACAAAAAATCTCTGCCACTGACTGGATTCACATTGACAAGATGAGACTCCTGTGTGTTTGGTCAATCATTCAGTGCATTTCATTCAAGATTGGTAAAGTCCCCAAATGACCCAAAAAAGTAAAAGGTTTAAGACTTATTTGGGGAATTTTTACCGCAATCTCTTACGGTAGCTTTGGAAAACTAACTAGCTTTTCTTTTTACATAAATCATCATTTGGGAACGTTTTTAACCTTGAACTGATGCTTAAAAACACAACTGGTCCTGATGTAATGTGAACCCAGTCACACAAACCTGGCCTCATTAAATGTCTTTAAACAACTTCCACTTGTTCCACGAGGATATTGGATTTAGCTTCACCTGTGGTGTTTGACAAATTATTTAATTTACTAAAAGCGTCCGTATGTTCCTCCGTCTAAATAATGTTTTTATCTCGTTTTTTCTTGTCTGCTGTCCTTCCTGTTTGCATGAGGTTTCCGTCGGAGGAGTGGAAGGAAGCAGAGGAGAGACTGGTCTTTAAAATCCCTTAATATTACGATGATAACGATGCTAATTATTAGAAATACTAAATTATTAGTGAGTGTGTATGTGTGGATGTATGTGTGTGACCTAACTAAACCAGCCTGTTCTAAAAGTGTGTGAAGATATACTGAATAAAAACTGTCAAATCTACTAAAAGTCTGTCTTTATTCACTGGTACTAATAATTACAACACAACTGGAGATTAATGATTATTTATTGATTAAAACATTATTAATGTCAAGTTACACTCAAAAAACAAAAAGGAAGTTAATCATAAAAACGTAATATTTATATGGCTTAAATCTAACTTACATTTTGTTTGAATTACAAGCGAATCATTTAAACTAGCTTAGCATTAGCCTAGCATTAGCTTATATTTATACTTTTTTTATTGCAAGATGTTTTTATTTTTGGCGATTATCTTATGCATTAAAATAGTTTACAAGTAGAGGTTCCTCTGCAGACATTTCGCTCTTTCTATCGTTCCGTTAAACGCTTAATAGATAACATTTGGTAGAACAAATTAAGCTAACTTTCTCTAATTTTACCGTAAATATGTTGAAAATCAATGTCGGCAAATAACTTGTCCTAATCTAAAAACGCTACTTTTTAAATAAATGGAGTTATAATAAAACAAAATGTGCCGTTTTCATGACCTATTACAAATTATATTTTATCATAATCAGAATAATAAAGGAGTATTAGTGTGCATATTAACACAGTCATAGTTTAAAGTACATTTTCATGTCAGCATTTAAATGTTAAATCATGTCAAATTTGATTTTAATTGCAAAATTATAGTTTTATGATTGTAAACTCCGCCCCCTTTCACTAAGCCCCACCCTCCCACCCCTCCCTGGGAGTGACCACGACCTTATAAGGCAGCGGCTGAAGGACGACGCCCAGTCGCCCCTGCAGGTTGGGCGGGGAAGCCCCGTCCGGCAGCTTGAAGTTCATTCGCTGGAGCAGAGAAGACACGAAGAGGAACAGCTCCAGCCTGGCCAGTGATTCGCCGACGCAGACTCGCGGCCCCGCCCCAAACGGCATGAAGCAGGGGGGCGTCACCCGGTGACCCCGGTCGTCAAGGAAACGGTCTGGAAAGGCGGGAAAACGAAGGTGAGGAAAAGGCGGAAAAAGGTGTGTTAGTTGCATTATTTAAAGTAGGATTTTTCCGATTAGGTAGTTGTTTTTTGTGTTTTACCTGGGTTAAAGAGGTCTGGTTTGTCCCAGTGTTCCGGGTCGTGGTGAATCGCCCACATGTTCACCAAAACTCGTGTCCCACGTCTGACCGGGTGACCTCCAATACTACGAGAGAGAGAGTTTTAAACATTTTGCAGCTTATAGCTATTTCCATTATTGTTAAAACTGTCAGTTATTTCCTGACAAATTGTCACAAAAAATGGCTGTTCTTCTGAGAAACTCATGAAAAGTTGAATGTAGTTAAAGAAGTTCAAAAGACAACCAAGAGGCGGTAAAATGCTTAAAAAATACATTTAAAAAGTCTGAAAAATAGTGAGAAAAAGTTAAACATTTAGAGCTGTAGTATTTAAGGTGCCGTATTTGAGCTGTAGTATTTAAGGTGCTGTATTTGAGCTTTAGTATTTAAGGTGCCGTATTTGAGCTGTAGTATTTAAGGTGCCGTATTTGAGCTTTAGTATTTAAGGTGCCGTATTTGAGCTTTAGTATTTAAGGTGCCGTATTTGAGCTTTAGTATTTAAGGTGCAGTATTTGAGCTGTAGTATTTAAGGTGCAGTATTTAAGGTGTAGTATTTACCTGCTGTCCGTCATGGCGGTGTGCGGGATCAGCACTGGACTGACCGGTCTGATCCTCATGCCCTCGTTGATCACACACTCCAGGTACGGCAGCCGGACTCGGTCCGACACACACACCGGACGCTCGCCCACCTGTTCGTCCAGCTCCGCTTGTACCCTGCGCTGCACCTGCACCACAAGTACCTTTACTACACCGAGAATACACACACACTACACCGAGAATACACACACACTACACTGAGAACATACACTGATAACATACTACAACTACACCGAGAATACACACATACTACACCGAGAATACACACACAGTACACTGAGAATACACACATACTACACTGAGAACATACACTGAGAATACACACATACTACACTGAGAATACACACACACTACACTGAGAACATACACCGAGAATACACACACAGTACACTGAGAATACACACACACTACACCGAGAATACACACACAGTACACCGAGAATACACACATACTACACTGAGAACATACACTGAGAATACACACATACTACACTGAGAATACACACACACTACACCGAGAACATACACTGAGAATACACACATAGTACACAGTTACAGTCCAGATTACTGCAGTATTGGTACTCTCTGACCTGAGGGTGGTGCAGCAGATACGCCAGGATCCATAGCAGCGTGGTGGATGTGGTTTCCACGCCGGCCCCGAAAGCCTCCGCTGCCGTCATCAGGACGTGATCGTCTGTGATGCCACTCCCCTCCTGAAGCCCCGCCCCCTGACCCTGACCCTGCAGCAAGGCATCCAGCAAGTCCCGGGGGGGGCCGTCACTCAGGGACGCCTTCAGGAGAGTTATTACAATACAGGAATTAATGTAGGTATTTGCAGATATACGCACATGTTTGCACGTACAAAAGTTATACTACATACAAAATTAACAGGATAAAAACTATTTAAAAAAAATCAGTTTAAATGGAAGCAGCTGCAGGGACATGAAGTGCATATAACTGTTGGGTCTGCTGATTTTAATAATTTTTATAAATAAATGTAAATTATGAAAGAAATACGGAAAAATACGAAAAAATATAAAAATATATGCAAAATAATAAAAACAATAATACAAATATTTAAAAACAAATTAAATACCCTTTAGAAAACAATAACCCTATATTAAATATATTTCAACATTACTCCGTACATTTTATTTATAAATTGTATCATCAGTTCCTGTCACCTTGTGCTCCTCCAGTTTGCGGGACAGCAGCCGGTCTCTGACGGCGATGCAGTCCTTCAGTTTCCTGAGACACCTGTTGGGAAACACCTGAGGAGCATGTGTGGGTTTGAAGTTAGAATGTGATTCAAAAGTAGGGACATTTTTTATAGAAAAGAGGGGTTTTGGGGAAAGTCATGGCCTTTTTTGCAATTAAAGTAAAGTAATTTTTAAATTGAAATTTTTTTTTTTAAGTACAAATATTTTTTAAAGTACACGTTTTTCAGAAAAGTCCAAATATATATTTTTTAAAGTAAAACTTTTTTTTTTAAGTAACAATATTTAAAAAAAATTGAAATATTTTAAAAGAATGAAAATATTAAAAAATATTTAAAGAAAATTAAAATATTTTTTTTAATTAAGATATTTTATGAGGGATTTTTTTCTAAAAGTTTAGAGTTACTTTTAGAGAGGGTCTACTTCAGGCACCTTGATCCAGGGGTAGATGTCGAGCAGCCCGCCCCCGACGATGGTCTCCACGATGCCGTCGTTGTACCGCATGACTTCCTGCAGCTCGGCGTCGCCGTGACGATACGTTGAGCTGAACACCAGCGTGCACACCACGTTAGTGACAGCTCTCGTTACCGCGGGCGACGGGTCGAAGCCCCGCCCCCCTCCTGACAACAGCTCCAAACACAGGTCGTCCACCGAGGACCGGACTAAAGGAAACACATGAGATATATATATAAACAAGTATTATTTTATGTTTATTCATCTTTAAAGGAACCAGAGCAGCACACTTGTTTTTTTCAATTTGATTTGATATTAAAAGTCTCTGTAGCTTCACATCCTGTTAGTGAATTGTCCCCTTGACCGTCGAAGAGGAACAATTCTTAATTGAAACTCAAAAGACTCGAGACCGTTACGAGTGAAACAGATTGGAAGGGAGATAATGCTCCAGTCATTACCACTTGATACAGAATCCACTAACGTGTTCATAGCACAGAGAATTCAAAACATCTGTTCTGCAATAATACAAAATAAAAGACAGTTTTTTTGTTAAATACACAGGAGTAGTATCGTATTATTTTTCATGCATTATTCTTAATCCTGCAGTATTATGGTATGTGCTGCATTAATGGATGCTGTTCTGTACCGATGTCCTGCAGGCGTCCGCTGCCCTCCCCGAACAGAGTGAAGGAGTCGTGGACGAGGCGGCGGTGCATCTTCCAGAGAGGAGAGAAGTCTGAGAAGGCGATGTCTTTCCCCCCCCGGGTCAGCAGGTCCGTGGTCACCTGCGAGGGAATACAGAGAGAGATTTACCATTTTATCATTTGTTGTTTTTTGCCTTTACTGTCATTTATTCAGTATATTGTTCTATATTTTTGGGGTCTTTTTTCTGTATTTTCTTTCTGTATTTATTCTTTATTTTTCCTACTTTTCTCCAGTATTGTTTCTGTGGCAAGGACATGTTTTAAAAATAAAAGAATTTGAGAAAATGTTGGTCTTCTTGTGAAAGTTAGGACAGTATTAGTAAAGTAGAACCTTTTCAAGAAGTTAGGACTGTTTAAAGAGACTTAGAATATTTTTATAAATTAAATTGAGCACTTCTTATGAAGCCCCCCCCCTCACCATGAAGGGTCTCCCGGCGAACTCTTTCCCGCGCTGCAGCAGGACCTCTCTGGCCTCCTGGTGCCGGTTTAAGACCACCGAGAGGTGAGGGCCGAGGAGCAGCGAGAACACAGGGCCGTACCTCAGGGAGAGAAGGAACGAATATTTGTTGAGAAAGTACAGAAATAATACACAAGATATATATGTATATATAAACAGAAAATAAATTAAAGAAGAAATTAAATAAAACAGGAGAATACAGAAGATATACTTATATATAGTGTTGGGGAAATAATTCCCAAGGCCCATAACTGTGACCCAGTTTATCAGTTCATGCTGTCCTGACTGAGCACACGCACCTGTAGCCTTGGCTGCTGTGCTCTCAGTGCTCTGTCTCCCTGCTCCTGCCTGTTCTATCAGCTGATAGAGGTGTTATGGTTCTATCTTGTTCTGCACAATGTTGATTATTCTCTCTGAACTAGCTAAACACACGGGTCTGGGGGAGAGTTCTTCAGAATTGATTGTGGCATCTCAACCGTGTGGTCAGACCGTGGCCCGTGACTTGTCTTGCGAGTTCTCCGGCCGAAGCTCCAAATAAACCGTCAGTGTTTGCCATCAGAGCTCCAGCTCTCCTCGAGTCTCTCTGAGTCCTGACTCCATCAAAGCTCCAGCTCTCCTCGAGTCTCTCTGAGTCCTGACTCCATCAAAGCTCCAGCTCTCCTCGTGTCTCTCTGAGTCCTGACTCCATCAAAGCTCCAGCTCTCCTCGTGTCTCTCTGAGTCCTGACTCCATCAAAGCTCCAGCTCTCCTCGTGTCTCTCTGAGTCCTGACTCCATCAAAGCTCCAGCTCTCCTCGAGTCTCTCTGAGTCCTGACTCCATCAAAGCTCCAGCTCTCCTCGTGTCTCTCTGAGTCCTGACTCCATCAAAGCTCCAGCTCTCCTCGTGTCTCTCTGAGTCCTGACTCCATCAAAGCTCCAGCTCTCCTCGTGTCTCTCTGAGTCCTGACTCCATCAAAGCTCCAGCTCTCCTCGTGTCTCTCTGAGTCCTGACTCCATCAAAGCTCCAGCTCTCCTCGTGTCTCTCTGAGTCCTGACTCCATCAAAGCTCCAGCTCTCCTCGTGTCTCTCTGAGTCCTGACTCCATCAGAGCTCCAGCTCTCCTCGTGTCTCTCTGAGTCCTGACTCCATCAAAGCTCCAGCTCTCCTCGTGTCTCTCTGAGTCCTGACTCCATCAAAGCTCCAGCTCTCCTCGTGTCTCTCTCTGAGTCCTGACTCCATCAAAGCTCCAGCTCTCCTCGTGTCTCTCTGAGTCCTGACTCCATCAAAGCTCCAGCTCTCCTCGTGTCTCTCTGAGTCCTGACTCCATCAAAGCTCCAGCTCTCCTCGTGTCTCTCTGAGTCCTGACTCCCATTGCTTCAGAAGTTTCCCCCACACATATTAGCAGAAGAGATACAGAACGTGAATAGAAAATGCTTTGAGAACACTTTGAGGTAAAGTGAACTCTTAAGGGTTTACACTGAGATGTCCTCTTACCTGTGTCCCAGCTGAGTGAAGAGCAGGTGGGGGGGGAGACCTCCTCCCATCCAGGGGAGGCTGCCCAGCAGGGGGAGAGAGGGGAGAGAGGGGAGAGAGCCACGAGCCGGGGGGCGAACGAGGAGGAAGAGGAGGAGGAGGAAGGCTGCACCAACGAAGAAGAAGAGGACGAGAGAGGAGGGGAGGAGGGAGGAGAGAGAGGAGACGAGACGAGAGGACATGGTGAGGAAGTGAGGAGAGAGGGAGAGAGGACGCTTATATACACACTGTCCAAGGTCTGAGAGTGTGTGTGTGTGTGTGTGTGTGTGTGTGTGTGTGTGTGTGTGTGTGTGTGTGTGTGTGTGTGTGTGTGTGTGTGTGTGTGTGTGGTGTGTGTGTGTGTGTGTGTGTGTGTGTGTGTGTGTGTGTGTGTTTGTGTGTGTGTGTGTCAGCCTTGATGTTATCAGCTGTGTGTCAGAGGAGAGAGAGACCACGTCACTGTCCCGACACACACTTTAAAAAGTTATTTGAGTTTTTCTTTAAAATAGTTTTATTTTTTGTTTATAGGTTTTATTTATATTTACATTCTTAATTAAGCTGTTTTTTAAATATATTTATTGTTATTAGTTTCCCTACGTTTTCATATATATTTTGTTAATATAAAAAGGTATGTTTTTATTTATTTACATGTTCTATATGTTAAAGTTACATTTAATTTGTTTCATATCTTTCAGTTTTATTCCCGTTTTTTTCGTAGATTTTTTAAGTTTTAGTTGAGAAATAAATATTTATTATCAGTTTAGTTTCAATTTGACAGAAAGAGTTATTTGATGTTTTGTTTCTATAAAGTGTGAGCGTTTCAAAGCTTTAGCTAAGTTTAAGGAGACTTCTTTCAAAGTTAGTTTTCTCAGAAAGGTTTATTTTGTATTTAAAGTT